TTTGTATGACAAGAAGTTATCTGTCTAAAGACTGTCTTGGATCACAATGATACTCATTAAAAATGATTGTCCTGTAGAAAACTTCTCTGATTTTCTAATATATGTTAAAATTGCATGGCCTTAATTTGTGAATAAAAGATGATAAAATACTTAAGTAATTTTCATTTGAGCAGGTTATGTATGTCTGTGGCAAGTACAATTTGGTTCATGAGTTTTTCAGGAAAATTGAGAAATCTTCCCTGCCAAATGCTTTAGCATATAGAGGTACTTTATTACAAACTGACTATTTTCACCACATTTTATAAGATTCCATTTTGCAAATGACTCTCTTGGTGTTACATACAGTTCTGGTGAATACTCTGTGGAAAGAAGGTAAAATAGATCAGGCTGTATTGGCTGTTCAGGATATGGAAAGACGAGGTATTGTAGGTTCTGCTGCTCTTTATTATGACCTTGCTCGCTGTCTTTGTAGTGCTGGAAGATGCCAAGAAGCACTGACGGAGGTACTTCTATTGAATGGATTTGCTATATGTTTTTTGTTTATTTTATATTGATGCTCAATATAGAGCTATTTCAGCCATTGCTGTTTTTTCTATGGTCAGCCAAGGCCTTTAGCTTGAATTGAACAAGACATTTATTTGCACAAATTTAGTAACTTGAGGAACCTTCTTTTAAGAAAAAATGTTACAAATATTAATAGATAAACTGATAAATTCATCAATAATGTTTAGCAAAAACAAAAAATAAATTTTATGTTAATGTGAGGTGGAGATGAACGATAAAAATGTGACAATATCATGAGATTAACAAAGTTTACATTAGCTGGTTGTGGAAGAATTTCTGAATTGCATAATTGTTAAAAAGAGACACTAACTTTATTCTTGTTTTTATTTGTAACAAATAATAGATCTATTTTCCATTACTCAACTAGCTTTCTTTCTTTTGACAGATCCAGAAAATATGCAAGGTTGCTAATAAACCTCTGGTTGTAACTTACACTGGTTTAATTCAAGCTTGTGTGGAATCTGGAAACATTCAGGACGCAGCATACATCTTCAATCAAATGCAGGAGTTTTGCTCCCCAAATCTTGTTACTTTCAACATAATGCTAAAAGCCTATCTTGAACATGGATTATTTGATGAAGCAACAAAGCTCTTCCACAAGATGTCAGAAAACACCACTCATATCTGCAACACATCTGATTACAAGCACCAAGTAATACCAGATACATATGCATTCAATATCATGTTAGATGCATGCACCCAAGAGGGGAGGTGGGATGATTTTGAGTATGTCTATAAAAGGATGTTGCACATGGGATATCACTTCAACGCAAAACGTCATCTACAAATGATACTAAATGCTGCCAAAGCCGGAAAGGTAAGAGTCTAGTTTCGTGTTAGAACATTAATGCTTGTTTTATCATCAATGCTTGCATTTAGGTAATGGTGTTTCCTTTAAAGATCTAGTAAGAAGCTGCTATTCCTTGTACCACTTGCAGGGAGAACCATTGGAATCAACTTGGGAGCACTTGACCCAAGTTGATAGGATCCCTCCCATTACTCTCATCAAGGAGAGGTTTTGTATGAAGCTCATGAACAATGACTCTGTTTCTGCTCTTGCCTGTATTACTACACATCCTTTGAGCGATTCCCCAGCATTTTCCAAGTCAGCATGGTTGAATTTATTCAACCACAACACCCATCGGTTTGGACAGGATACCATTGCTCAACTACTTAATGAGATCAACGTCATTTTTTCCAAAACTGACTCTTCGAGCCCTGTTTTGCAGAATCTGTTGACATCTTGTAAAGAACTTTTGAGAACTTGATTGAAATTTTTTTGAACGTGTTTTGAAGGTGGAGAGGCATTGGAGATC